CAACCCACCCCCCCCCCCCCCCCCCCCCCCCCACCCCACCCCCCCCCCCCCCCCCCCCCCCCCCCCCCCCCCCCCCCCCCCCCCCCCCCCCCCCCCCCCCCCCCCCCCCCCCCCCCAACGCATAAAGAGAGAGAGAAAGAGAGAAATCAGCATTGGAAGAAGAAAAAATACATGCAGAGACTCACACAAGACACATCGAAACACATTCTAAATATGCATAAACAAGTTTTTCAAATTACGATTTTCATAATATACAAAGAAAATCTTATTATTCGCCCTTTCTAAAAATGACTATTATTTGTTATCCTTTACGTTTATAGTTAATTAATATAGACGCCGGTATATTTATTTCAATCTTGTTCGTTTCATCATTATCATCAACCGTTATTGTTTTAGTGTCGAAATAGACTTTTCCATTTGTATTTTTAATACGTGTAAAAACGAAAAGAAGATCGTACAAACGTGGCAACAATAGTTGCTAATTTTAGTCCGTCCCTTATATTATCACCGTCGTCCACAGCATCGACGGTTCGGCAAAATTTAATGCAAATAACTAACATGAACTTAATTGACAACCATTCACCGATGCCATCTCATAGACCATTTAATTCTAAACAGCAACAACAACAGCAACGTGAAGACAGTAGTCTGGTATTAAAAATTAAACGTCATACAACAAAAAATGAACATGAAATTGTACGAACTAGTGAAGATGAGTCGACTAAAACGTGTCTGTTAAGAACTGATAATAATTCAACAACAAATAAAGCTGTTAAAATTGAAGACGATGACTCGACCAACAGCACTACAACAATACTTTCGTCAGATGATCGTGAAAACAGAACTACTGCTTCTACGACTGCAAATAGTGACAATAATATCTCAGTGACACCCTTATCTCCTTCGACGACGACGGCCGTATGTGAAAAAAAGAGTAATCGTTTAAAAAAAGTAAATTCATCAAAAATCACAAAAACAACAACAGTATTAAGACATAAACGATTATGTCGAAACGATGCAGTGACTACTAAACGTTCTACCGCGCGTTTATTCGATATTAAAAGTCCGAAACAACAATCTCAAGCGAAATTGAAACAACGTTGTCTATCAATCGATAACAATAATAATGACTGTACGACGACAACAGAAAATTGCACGAAAATTGAGCAACAACAGCAAACGAAAGAGAAAAAAATTGCTTGTTCGATAAATATTACTAATAGTAATGCCTCTACGAATCACGATAATTCACAAGATAACAGCGACTATGACGACAGACAAAATCAATTACCACAGTCAAAACGTTTCAAACATGATAAGGTGAGAAAAAGAATGGTTTTCTCTCTCTTTCTAATTTTATGCTCTTAGCATTGGTCATAGCTAGCCGTCAGTTTAAAAAACGGTATACAGCATAACGAAGATCGATATTGTAAAAGGAAAAAAAGTTCGTTGTAGGGTACTTATAAGTGTCAGTTTCAAGTAGTCTAATATCATCATTACAATCAATAGTTTTCGAAGGTGTTTGGCACAAACCAGCATAGAATTTTTACAGTCTTGATCTGTTGCTAGCATTCTTATCGTAACAGTCAAAACTTACAACTTGAATGTCTGAGTAGACTTATTTTTTTAACTCGTTTTAGGAGAAAACATTTGTTTGATATGATCCACGTTTAGTGTTGAAAGTCGTTAAGCTTTCTTTTAAAGGCTATCGCAGAGCAGCCTAATTAGGTAGATAGGAACTGCAACTAAAAACATAAGAATGAAACTTTGATGAATACTTTCTTACATAGATAAGTTAAAAGATTAGTATGCTTTATATCTATCACTCTATTAACACAACAACTAAGTTTTAATCGAGTTATTACGTTTTGCAATCCATAATTATCACTATTAAAAACAAAAAATATTCTAAAAACGATCTAAATGGTATTACCTTTCTCTATTGTTGAAAGTCGCTTTTTCTATTGCTATGTTATATTCTATTGTCTTTAAACGAGACAACTAAGTGTCTTTTTTATCCATCTACTACAACAACCAAATATATTGTTCAACAAACGGTTAGGTTTTTATCATAGAAAAGAGTTAATTAGCAATATTTTACTACTATTTTAGCTATTTCTAAGGTGATGTATTTCGACAATCTTTCATCGTTTTTGTACATGTGCTTTAGAAAAAGAGGTATTTTCCTTCAATAATATATATTTTCATCTAACAGAATTGTCGATTAAATTGCAACTGATGTTTTATCAATCGTTTAGCAGACAACACGCTGAGATTGACACTGTAGATCATTGTTTTGATTCTATCCATGTGAAAGGTGGGCTCTAGTATAATTGAGATTACATTTTCTCTATGCTTACTAATTAGATTTAGAAATGGTGGTCTCAATTTGGAATAGAGAATTTGTTCTTTTCATACACTTTATACACTGTTTATTTATAATTTACCGTTTTAAACGATATAAATGACTTTTATATAATATACCATGCTGGTCCTTTTCACTTTAAATATAGAATTATAGACATGATGAAATTCGTAGACGAAATTGGATTGAGATATTGTATTTCAAGATAGTATTAGTCTTCATTTTATAATCTTATCCGATTCAGTAATCTCACTTTAATATCATTTTGAAAATGGATGCGTTTTCAGAAACGATTTCAAGCCAATACTTCAATCTATTTCTCTTCCTACAATAAACAATTATTCCCAATTACGGAATGATGCGAAATTATAAAGTGTACAAAGTGTAGAGTGTGAAAAGAACAAATTCTCTATTCTAAATTGAGGCTACTTTCTAAATCTAATTAATAAGTATAAAAAAAGTGATCTCAATCATTGAAGCCACGGAAAAGTGTTATTTCACGTATCCGCCAATTAAGATTCATTACCTATGTTTTCTTTTGTGAGGTATTTTTTCTTGATATGACTTTAGTTGAAATTGATTCATTTTCATTCATTTGAAGAGGAAGAAAACAAAAAATAAACCTCTTCTTGTACACACATATTTATTCAACACATTTTGTTTGTTTGCTTTTTGTCTTTTTTTCAATCTCTAAATAAATATTACAAATAATTTTCACTTTTTTTCTCTTTCATCTAAGATAAGATTTTACTGCTTCATGTCCGATCTTTTTTTCAAGAAACAAAAAAAAAAAAGAAAAAAAATTCGTTGTGATACTTTTTTTTTTTCTTTCTTTTATATTTGTGTTTAAGAAGAGAAAAAAAAACAGGCAATATATGTAGATTATTATGCGTTTATCTGATTAACCGAAAAAACATGAAATGATCGCAATAAGAGGAAAAACGGGATTGTAATAACGCATGCGTGACGTATCCTATACCATTTTGTCAAGAATGTTTACAGTTATTCAATAAGTTTAGTTGCAGTATATTAGATTGATAATTACCACCTTTTTTTTTCCTGAAGAAATTTTAATGAAAAAGCTTTTTAGAACAAGCATCCATTCACAAAGAAAAAATCCGGAAGTTACTATGCATCGGTAGTTGATTTTGACATTCTAGTTAAAGAGCTAACAGTACTTCACAAACAAAATAAAAAAAATTTATTTAATGGTTTGTCTCCCTGACGCTGTCATGTCTGTAACTTCAATTTTCTACTAGTATAGATGAAAAAACAACGATCTTATACACTTATCTGCAGTATTATTATTTTTCTTTTTGCCTTTTTTTTTTATTTATCTCACTAAATTAATATTATGAAGTGGTCACATACGCGCATCACAATATAATGAAATAGAGAGTATTTTCTTCTTCTTCTTACACGCACAATATGAGGGAGTTCAAGGGAACTAGATATAGAAAATTCTCTCCTTCTACGTTTTGTACAGTTCTAGCTTATGTTTTGTTGATGATCACAACATTTAATGGAGGTTGTCATCACATCATCATCACCATCATCATCATCATCATCATCATCAATCCATTATTTTTTACCAAAAAACGCAGAAGAAAAAAAAAAGAACAGAAAATAATTCTTTTTCATCACGAAGGTCATTATTTACTTTTTCTCTATATGCACAATAAATCACAGATGTTTTTTTAAAATTTTTTTCTCTCATATTTCTTGTGTATACGGGTTCGATTCGATCGTTCAACGGTGCATGATCAACTACATAAGGATTGAAATTACATACCTTCTATGAGGAGAAGAGAGTTCATGCACATATGTAGTAGAGAATAGAGAACATTGATAGACTTTTGATGAATAAAGAATGATATGAAAAGGGTATAATGAAGCCGGTCTAAAGAAATAAAATAAATAGCAAATTGGTCAATGTAGAACAGTGTCCAGGTTTTTATTTCTTTGTTTATATTTGTAACTCAAGTAAAAAAATAATAAATGAAAAGTTTCATTTTTGTTTTATTTATTTTTAGTTTCAAAAAGTGGATGCTAGTGTTGAAACAGCCTCGATTGGCGTCGTTACTGAACCAGATAATTTGGGTCCTTGTTCACCAGGTACAACGGTGGTACTAGAAGGAATTGTATGGAACGAGACCGATAGTGGTAAGCCTTGTTTTTTTGGTTTCTTTTTAAATGACAATCGATTAATGAGAAAAAAAGAGGAGAATAATTTATTATTCTTGTCAAAAAAGAAGAAGAAAAAAGAAAAAGACCAAATTATTTTATCTTTCTCTTTATGAATTCTAGCACATTATTAATAATTCCATTTAATCGAATAATAACTGGAAAAAGGAAAGGAAAAAAAAATGAATAGAATCTCCATTAATTGTTTCTCGAGATCGATGACAAGTTGTTTTACACATGTACGAGAGAGATTATGATGCAACAGATGTTCGCTTAACAACATCAAAAAGACATGAATTCATTAATTATAGACGATCTAGAAAAAGTGTCTCTGTCTGTATAACATTAGTGTTGACGTTTAAACCATGAAATATACAAAAAAATCACTTCTCATACCAATCGGTCATCATCTCTATTCGAGTAAATGAAATTGTTTTTTCCATCGATACAGTATGTATCCTCTAAAGTTTATTAATAAGTGTATGGATAATTCTATGACATGTCATAAGTAACTACTACATATTTATCATACATTAAAGAAGTTTTTTTTCCTTTTTTTATCAAATTGATATAATTTTTCCTAGTTGTAAAAAATGTTTCATTTTTGAAGGATTTGCTAACTATTAAAGTTGTTTAAAAATTTTAAATACAAAAGTTTCTTGAATGAGTTCTATTAATATAAGAATAAAAAGTGTAATGTCACGAAATAAAGTGAATAAAGAAACCCTATTTTGAAGTTGTCATCATTATCATTTTGTGAAGGAGAGAAGAAGAAGGAGAAGAAAAAAAAAAAATCATAAACACAATAATAATACAATAAATATACAGAAAGAGTAAGAATAATAACGTATATATGCGTGTTATAGATGAAAAAAAGTACTTGACGAAAAAAAAGAACGAGAGAGGAACTGTTCTTCTCCTCTTTGCGTTAAGTGTTTCTTTTTCATTTACTCTATATGCGTGTATGAGATATGAGACCTATATTGTGTTGAAATAAAATGCTTTGTTTTGTGCCTCAAGTACTCTAGTTTCCCGAAAAAAGAAAATAAATTGTATGCAAATTTGCTTTTCTTTCTCTTTCTTTCTTTCTCTCTCGCTCTCTCTCCCTCTCTCATTCCCTATATTATTAGAAAAAAAGCAAAAAGAAAATGGGGGTGCCCTGACGTTCGATTAGATTAAAATGGACCGATATAGATGGAGAAAGTACATGAAAGTGTACATTATAGAAAAGAGAAGAAATGGTGTGAAGCCTAGACAATAATAAAATATAGAAAAAAAAAAAAGCATCTGATTATTAAAAAAGGAAAATAATAAACATTTCAAGAAAAGCTAATGCTAAACGGAAATGGGTGTTAAAACTCATGAGATATTTTTTTGCCAGTTTAATACTTATGTAAATGTTTGAAAATTTCTTTTAAGAAGAACAATAGGTGAAATTTTCTATTAATAACGCATTTGACATATGTTTAAAAGAAACACGTTAATATTTAACGCATGCTAACTCGCTAAATATTAAAGAGAAAATACTCCATTTTAAAAAAAAAGAAAATGTTAGTGTTTAATTCTTTATATAGTAGAAATTATAGTGCGTGTTAGAAAAATATTCTTATGGAAAAAGTCTCTAAAACACCTTTGATGACAAATTATGATTGAAATTCATTCTCAAAATAGGTTTTTTAATTATGATTAAAAATAATATTTACTTAACAACGTAACACACAAAATTTAGATAGTCATATTTTTATTCTAATAATTGTCGGTCATCATTTTGTCCTAGTTATTTTTGTTTAAAAAGAAAAAAGAAATTTTTTCTTTTCTTTTGCCTTGATCAATCTACAATGTATTTCACATATTCTATATTTAATGTATTGTGTTATATACATAAAGATTAAAATCAATTAAATTATAAACGATATTTTATTGTTCTATGCATGTATCTATATATATTATTGTTTTGAGAACAAATATTACCAATATTTGTTATGTAAATATTTGAAGTGAAGAAAAGAAAAAAGAAAAGAAAAGAGAGAGTAGAGCAAAATTATCTTTCTTTTGTATTCAATTTCAATGTCATCATCATCATCATTTTCTTCTGTTTTTTTTTTTTTTTTATTTTTTTCTAAATTACTATAAAAAGAGGAAATGAACAAGGAATATAAAAGATGAGATTAAATATTTCTTTTACTTATTCAAGGTAATAATATTGTGGAAACAAAGAAGAAAATAAATGTAAATCCAATGACCTTGTTTACATTTATTATTTGTCATCATTTTATTTTTAAAACTAATCTAATCGAAATATGTTGCGTTTCTTATATATAATAAAATTAATGTATTTTAATTGTTTTATCATTTTCTTTTTCTTTTTTTTTATGGTGATACATATCTGTCATTGTAGTTATTTACACGTCTAAACCATATAAGAACTTTTATGAAGCTCTCAATTTTAAAAAAAAGAATTTTTATAGTTATAAAAATAGAAAGAAAACCTTACAAGATACCATTGATGATAAAAATAATATAGTTTTAGATTAACTTTATACATTGTTACCGATTAAAAAGAGAAAGTTCATTTGATGTTTTAGATCATATATTTATAGAAGAAACCCCAATTCTTCAGAAGAAATAAATATCGATCATATAAAGCTTTTTCATGCAGTTCATTGATGATGATATTTTTGTTAGTAAATTACATACATTTTTTGACAATAAAATATTTGACAAGTTGTAAATGAAATACTCTACATCAAAAACTTGTTGAAAAGAGTTTTTCTTTGTCTTTTTTATGTTTAATGGTAGAATAAAACAGTTGCGACAACTGTCCTAATTAATTTGTGAATAGCGTGTTTCTTTAATTTATTGAGGGCACAAGTTGTTGTGTTTTATTTTATATTTTTATCAATCGAGGTATATAGTAAAAGAATTTATGTTTCTTTTTGTATGTGAAAATTGTTCTTTTTTTTTTATCATAATTCTGATGGGTTTTTAATGACATGAGCAATCTTTTATATTATTCTTTTTATTAAAAAAAAAAAAAAGAAGAAAAACCTAGTACACACATTCACACATACATACACACGCAGTAGGCGTTCTTGTTAACTACTGTTTTCTTTTTTTATGTCTCTTTCTAATTCATATTCGATTTTTTTTCCTGTATACAGGGATAATAATAGAACAAAAAAAAACGCAAAGCTAAAATGGCACTTTTTTTGTGTGTGTACTCACGCATCCAATATAGATCTATGCATAAAAGAAAAAGAAAATATCTTATTTCGTTATCGAAAAAAAAAAATTACTATCGTGAGAGTAGAAGATTGATTTAGTTGTCGTCAACTAGAACGAACGGTGTGTGTGTGTGTGTGTGTGTTCTCTCAAAACAGAAAAAGCTTCTTTTTTTTTTTTGTTCGAAAAAAAAAGAATATTATGAATAAAACATCTGTGGATGTAAAATGAAGACATCTGACACCCAGTGCTATTTATTATATAGAAAACAAAAAGACTTGACAAAAATTTGTCCTATTTCATAGGCTTGTACCCACACTGTAGGTGTTATATGTGATTAAATGGCGTGAAAACAAACTGCAAGGAGAATTCTTATTTTCAATCTAATATGGTTGATAAAATAGACAAATTTCTTTCCTAACACTTACATTTCCTGGTGAAAAAGAAAAAACTCGAGAAAAAATAATCAATAACATCGAATCTTTGTTTAATAACGATCTTAATGATTCGAAACGAAATCAAAGTGTCAAAAATTTTCAATAAATTTTTGATTCTGAATAGGGAAGTCGACTATTGCTTTTGAGATCAAATATTGTTTTTCAATGAATAACATATGCACACCCTTAGAATATATGTGATTGAAATTCTTTTTTTCTTTTTTAAGAAGAATCTTACGTTGCTTATATTTATAATGAAATGATGAATAAAAAAATCTTTGTGACGCTTAAAGCAAAGAAAGACTCATTTTCTAAAGAGAGAGCCAGAAAATTCTAATCATTTTTTGTTTTTATTATATTTCTTTTTTCCGTTCTCAAATAGAAAGAAAAAGAAACTCGCACTTTATTTAAAAGAATCACCAAGGGTTTCGTGTTTCTTCTCTAGTATCTGAGCAAACATATTTAAAAATGCAGATTACTATAGCACACACTTCATAGCTAAAGAAACATAATAAATTGGCGTAATGAGATAAAAAACAATCTATTATTTGTCTCTCTCTCTCTCTCTCTCTCCTGATTGACAATAAAAATTAAAGGTTATAAAAAGAAACATGAATGTGATGTGAGAATGCACAGATATGGTGTGGGCTAATACAATGAAAATATTCAAGGATTCGATGTAGATAAATCATTCAAGCAGTGTTTATACTTTGAACAAATTTAAGCCTAATTAGGGATGGAATAATGTAAGGGATGAGACCAGCATTCCTGCAGATTTCAAACTTTTGCTGAAAACATTTTTTTTAGAGATATTTATTATCACAGTTTTGGAACTGGATTTACCACTAAGCTATCCAGTAGTCTAATGCATCGATGTTTTAAATGATTCTTGTTGAAGTTCGCATATAGCGATGTTCTCTTATAGTCACTTGCATAATTAACAATACTGAAATGCATTTAAAGTTGAGATATAATGAAATATTCGAAAATTATATTGCATAATAATTGTTTTCTGTTTAGGTGTACTGGTTGTCAATGTGACATGGCGTGGAAAAACGTATGTAGGAACATTGCTTGATTCTACAAAACTCAACTGGGCAGCACCAAGGTAAGAGTTTGTTGTGCTAATAAACTGTATTGATATACTAGAAAGCTTTTTTTGTTTTATAAGATTGACATGTGAATCTCCCACAAGTGATTTTGATACAAGAAGTAAAAATGGGCGAAATAAACGTGGAAATCGTTGTTCAGCTCCTCTTCTTGCATCAATTTCAAATTCATCAACGATAACATCAGGACTATCTCAGTCATCAACAAATGTCGAACAACAGACTGGTGACAGAAAACTTCGTAACATAAAATCTCGACAAACAAAACGTAACACGATAACTTCTTCGACGGCAATAACAACAACAACAACAACATTGAACGATCGCCTATTAACATTAAATAATGAAACAGCGAGTGCACTCAGTGATAATAATACAACTTCCAATGATAATACTACACCATCACCATTGAATTCACCATTTCGAACGAACTTAACTACAACAAATTTTTTCTTTGATAAACGATGTTTTTCGGCCATTAATAATAATAA